GGCTGTGGTGCAACATCAATGACGCGTACGTGTGACCTCGATTCTAGTAGTCTACTTTCTATCAGATTTAAATGCTAACCCACAGTCCAGTGCCGCCACCGTCAAACTCGGTCAACCCCCGCTGATATCCAGCTCACTCCGCAATAAGATGGATCCCCCAGTCGACATCAACAGCATATCTCCCACGACCCACACAAGTTGCGCAGTCATGGCGACATTCTTGGACGCCTTTATTTGCCAGTTGTGAGTTCGAAGTAGTACTAGCTAAGTTTGTTGAGAAATAACCCTGCTAACTAAAGCAATCTCAGTCGGCTTTCTAAAATCACCTGCGATATACTATCCAAGCTTTACGGCGACAACACGGGCTCACATAACGATCTCAAAATCTTCGAGACTTTGCGCTTAGCCTTCGATGTCGCGTGGAAGCTGTCCGCATGGCGACGTTCAGTGCCTGAAGATTTACGGCCAAGGATATCTCTCATCTCAACAGAGCCACCGCTTACGAAGCCGACAGCTTCTCTTGAAGCAGAGCACCTGCAGGCAGTCATGGCTCTTCGTTTCCACGGAATATGCGCGCTTGGCCAGCGCCCCGTCCTTATCAAATTTCTCGTCTTCGAGTCAGATTGCGTCGACGCTGACGAAAACTTCTTGTGCGACTCAGGCGTGGCATCTCTAAGAGCATGCATTCGGTCTTGCACCGAGTGTATAACCCCGGCCAAGGATATTGTAGACCAGTGGCGAGACCAGAGAGTATTGTTGTCTGGAGCATGGTGGCAGACGGCCTATCATGGTACGCCCCTCCGTCAACTCATAACTCACCACTTGAAACAAAGGGAATGAGATGAAACCGCTGCCCTCGTTACCGCCAGCGCAGCATTCGGCGCATCACTGATCATCTTCGGTATTTTGCTCATCTCAACAAAGCTAGTATTTGCGGACTTATTGAGCGCGGAAGAGATCAAGGCAGTCCACTCCAGTCTAAGAGATGCCAGCGAGCTGCTTTCACCCCGGCTCAACGATACCTTAGTCATCTTGCGCTGCCACGGCTGTCTGGAGAATTTCCTACAAGCTTGCGATGATCTTGTAGATCCGAGTCGGCCGAGACACAGCGTGGGAGATGCATGTGACACAGAAATGCCTCCGCCTGCTTTGACGAGAGCACTCCCGAGTCTCCCTAGCGCTAATGGGTCGGGATTGGGGGTTGTAGACGACGCTCTTGCAACTGCCGCGCACGATGCGGAGTACATTGAAGATGGGTTCACGTCTTTTGACATTGAAAGCTTCGTCAGTCGGCCTTTCTCGGACGATTTTACAAACTTTGACTGGGGAGATGGATCTAGCTTGAACTAGGCAGCGTCGTAGTTTTGGACAAGAATGCTACATGTTTATAAACGGAAGTGAGAGGGGACTTTGTGAAAGACTTGAAATGCTGTCTCAAAGGGGGGCGTTTTTTCGTGAACTTTTCAGGCAAGCTGCAATAGCATGAATGCACAACAATCTTGATTTCAAGCGTCATATACACACATCATCCCTCACTCTTTATAGACAACCATAGTCTCGCGATGCCGTTCCAGAAACTGTGCCACGACATCAACAAACCGGTCCAGCTCCTCATCCGGCGTGTCCAAGATCAACACAATCATCCCTCGTCGCGTAATCCAGAACCCTTCCTCTAACATTTCAAACCAAAACAAATCCCTCAGATCCGCCCTCTCCTGACCTTTTACCTCCTCGCCACTATAAAACTCTTCGAGCCGTTCCTCAGTGAAATGCAACCCAATAAGCGATCCCTTGCCAGTGAAACTCAACCTCGACCCCCTAGCCACCTGAACAAGCCTCTCATGAAACAAATCCCCCCTCTCCCTGAACGCCGCAGCCACTTCAGGCGTAAATACCTCCCTCAGCCCCGCATACCCAGCATGCATGGTCATGGTGTTGTTGTTAAACGTCCCCGAATGCGCCAGCCCTCCCGTCTCCCGCGGATCATACACCGCCATAACGTCCTCCCGGCCACCAAACGCCCCAAACGCGAACCCGCCACCAAGATATTTTCCCAGCGTGACCATGTCCGGTTTCAGCCCGAGCTCTGCACCCAGGCCATGCGGAGCCAACCTCGAGGTCATCACCTCGTCCAGTATAAACAAACCCCCCGCTGCGTGCGCGGCGTCCTGAACGGCGTGCAAAAACTCTTTACTCCCGGGGATGCACCCACCAGCGCCTTGCATGCCCTCCACCAGCACAGCGGCTAATTCATCCCCTGTCTCCGCAATTTTCTTTCGTGCAGCATCGATGTCGTTATACCGCGGCACGACTACAAAGTCCTCTTGATCAACTGCGTTCGGCGCAGGTCTTCCATCCTCACCACCAAAAGAAAGCACCGCGCCGTGATACCCCCCCGCAAAGACAACGACTTTCCTCCGGCCGGTGAAGTGTCGTGCCCCAGCTAAAGCATGAAGATTCGCTTCCGTGCCTGTATTCGCCATGCGCACGCGCTCGAGATGGAACCGCTGGCACAGCAAGGCGGCAAAACGCTGCTCTTGCACGGTGGTCGAGCCGAGATTCAGGCCGACGGTGTCGAGGGTTGAGAGGACGGCGGAGCGGATTACGGGGTGGGAGTGGCCGTACAGACCGGCGGAGAGTTCGCCTACGAAGTCTACATACCTATCATAATAGGTCAATGAGAGGGAGGAAAAAGAAAAGAACAGGGGTTGGATGTGGGGAATGGGAATGGGATGTACTTGTGCCCGTCTTCGTCCCAAACATATGCCCCTTTTCCTTGCTTCATGCAGAGCGGGAAGGGAGCCGTGTGGAGGAGCGTGCGGGTGTTGCCTCCCGGGAGTGAGCCTACTGCGATGGCATGTTGTTGCTTGGATAGAGGGTTGTTGGCGATGAATCTTCCCTCGGCGGCCGCGAGTGCTTTTCGGGCTGCTGCGCTGTGGTTTACAGCGGCGTCTTTTTGAGACGCCATTTTTTTTTTTTTTAAAAAAAAAAAGACTTGAGCTGAGTCCAGGCTGTGGGGTTTGAATAGCATGAGTTTCGGGACGGCGCGACGACTTATTGCCAAATGAATGAGACAAAGAACAAGATCGCAGGCGAGCACAGGTTGAAGCACTTCAAGCTGTTCACTTACCCCTCATCTGTGGACCATCGTCAACCTCCGGAGCGAATTGCACAGCGAGGAGTTGGAGATCCACTTGCCGGGACACCGGCAATGGATCTCTGTTGTCACACCCCAAGGTTCATGTTTATCGTTCTATGTCGTGAATCTCTTATTACATGATCATTGCTTTAATACAAAAGAAGAAAAAATGATATCTTTCTTTCCGGAGGCAGGGACTCGAACCCCGAGCAGATGTCTAATGTCACCGATGTTACCCTTTACACCACCTCCGATTTTTTTTAACTTGTTACAGCGAACTTTCACACTGGTTTTCCAGCCAGAAAGCACAGCTAATCAGCTGGTCAGGCTCCTGCACGTCTTTTCAGTGCTTGGCTACAGGCAGCTAGCTCCGAGGCGCAGTTGTCCGTCCAGTGAGAACATATCCCAAAAAGCACGCTCAAAAAGAGACTAACCTCAAAAAGAAAGAAAAAGAAAAAGAGAAGAATTGTGTTTAAGTACATTTCTTATTATTCGGATACGGGGAGTCGAACCCCGGGCTGATGAGTGAGAGTCATCGATGTTACCGCTACACCATACCCGATTGAAGTCGTGTGTGGTTTCCGACAAGGATGTATTGGGGGGAGAGGGTGCAAAACTGGATTAAGTAGGAGCCTTGGCGGATGTGGATCGAGCGATTGACCCGATTTTCTTTTGTGTCTTGGTACTGATGAGATCCACCCTAGGCCAACGAAAGAGGGAAATCACAAGAAACTGCATCCGTGTGAACGCTGGAGGCTGGGCTGTTGTGCAATAGAATTCCGAAGAGATAAATGACTCATTCAGAGAACTTAAGACGAGATAGCTCTTGTCTTGGTAAGTTCTTCGGCTAACGAATTGGTAGGTAGATTCACAGCCCCGTCTTGGTAGACGTCGGCTGCCAGGACTTGTGAGGGGCCAGGCATCGCAGGCAAACACCCAGCCAACATAAGCTGCTATAACTAATTGATATCTAGTTCTGTATTTTCCTTCAAAAGGAGGCATTGGATTTCATGGCGTGCTTTTTTCCCTTGTCGTCAAGTTGGGCTGAGAATTTCAATAATTTCCACCCACATTACTCCTTTCATAGGTATCGGTTTGAACTCCAGTCATGGCGCCCAACATTGATATTAGACTTCCCTTCCGGACTTCCCCCGCCAAGATGGAGGTCTCGGAGTCTAAGAACACTAGTACTAGTATTGAGAAGTTTTACTCAACTTGTCTGTCTCTCTACAAGCTCCACGGCCTCGTCAACAAGGCGACTGGGGCTTCAGCCAAGGAGGTGGCCCTCGCGTTTGCCACCCGCGCGACCCCGAATACAGGGGGTTCCGGTTCGACCCGGATATGGACCCGTACGAGGTGCGGCGGATGATTGTCAGCCATGCGGTGCCATGTTTGGATGTTGAGTGCGGGAATCGGTACGCGGAGGCGGTGCTGGCTTATTTGTTCGTTGAGCCGGATGATGGAGAGGAGGAGGTTGGGGAGGTGGTGATGGGTGTTATGGCGAAACTGGCTTTCTATCGCGCGTGAGGTTCATGGCTTCAGGTTGTTGACGTGATGATTGTTAGTGATCTCGTATGTTTTCTTTGGATGTGGCTGTCACTTCTTGCTTTGGGTTGAGTTTGATACGAACGACTTTGCTGGCAACTCAAATAAACGATCTTTCGATTAATGAATTGTGTCATGCTAGGTAGATTTGGCATTGCATGTGTGCAACTTGGACTATCTAGATTCTTGGCGTCGTTGTTCTGGTGGAGAAGTGCACAAGAGGAGTAATCCTGTTCCCAGCCAACGCTCCACTCGGTGTTTCTTCTTCAAGTGGTAGAAGGTTACCCAGGCAGCAATTCAAAAACACTATTAGAAACCGGGTATAGTGAAAATGGTATCACCGCTGCTCGCAAGCAGTCCTTCGGGGTTCGAATCCTCGTGCCCGCAATGTTCGTTTTTTTTTTGCCTTTGTCCATTGTCCACTTTTCTTTTATATTTGGTTTCTATTATCGTTGCTCTAAACTACCCAACATCCCTTACCCAGGTATGACACAGTTGTCATTTCCTCGTTCTAGGAACCACCTACCCACCTCACTTGATAACACTCGTAATCCCCTTACTCACCCGAATCAACTCCCTGACCTTAAGCAAGCTTTGCACGTACGTCACCCACGCGCCCTTCGCAGCAGCCGTATGCGTCGCCTTGCTCGCGCAGCTCTTCTCCACGACGGACTGCAGCTCGGCAAACGCGCAAAACTGCTGGCAGATCTCCTCGAAGAAATCGTACTTGACCAGATCGTGGTCCGGCAGATTGATTGTTTTTTTCGTCCACCCCCTGTTGCTCGCGCCCCTCTCGTTAGGCGCCCTAGACTCCATGTATGAGTGCGCCCAAGCGTATGTGTGCATGAATCTCGCCAGGCTGGTGATGGGCGCGAAGAACTCAATGATCTTTCGGAAGTCGGGCTCGCGGTTTTGCTGTTCGGCGGTCTGGCGCTCTCACATGTAGAACAGACAAAAGCTCCTGTCGAGGAGGCCGCTGCACTCCTTCTGGGCGCGGTCGTAGAACTTGGTCAGTGCGCCTGCGGGGGGCTGGGGATAGGGTTCTATCAGTTTGGTTTTGTAGGGGCTACTTGGAGGTAGCTCTGTTGCTGTAGCGTGGGTGGGGCTGGTGCGCCGTTGGGATAGGAGAGCGATGACTCGGGCGGAGAGACCCATTGGCCGCCAAAGAATTGCGGCTGGTTCCGGGATTGCTGCTGCTGTTGCTTGCCGTCGCCGATGACAAGTCCTGTAGCCGGCTGCAATGAGAATGAGATGCTGAACGTGTCGGGAAATTCAACGAGTTCTTTCCTGTCGTGGAAATAATATTCATAGTTTTGTCGCCCATTGTTTTGATCCCTCCGTGGGAGAGATCAAATGTAATACGTGCGTTGAATAGCGTAGGCACTTTGGATGGGAAGTCCCCAGTAAAGTCGTGAGTTGAGGAGGCTCGTAATTGACACTCGACATCAGAAAGACATTGTACGTCTCCGAAAGCGAGGACAGCTACCGCTACCACTCATATCCCATTTGAGAACCGTCCTTGGACAAAGAGAGACAATAAGATTGGCTAAAAGTTTCGACAAAGGAGATCATTTGAGCTCTAGGATAAGTCTCTATGTTGGAGATAGGTGACTACACAACGATGGCGGGTGCAATCGATCCGGCAATACAAGCACACAATGTGCACACTAGTAGGTAGCTAAATTCAACCTGCAGCGGCTGGGTTTATATTACCACAGTACGAGGCAGTAACGAGGAGCAGTGTTAAATGGAATACATAACTCATCATTTTACTCCAAAGTCAAGAGGTAAGCAGGTATTTTATTTTGCGTTTCAGTGCGTTGGTTTCATACTGAATTCTACTTGGAGGAGAGAGACAGTTACGGTGATACCATTGCTCCTTTTCATTATACAAGACCTATGTTTGTATTTGACGTGAATTAGGTACTCGGCATTCTGATTTTCGTTTACCCTTTTGTTTCCGTCAAGTTCAGTAGCGACCGCGCATTGGGCGGAAGCAAGCTTTCTTTGTTATGACCATCCCAGTCGTGGTTTCTTTGTTCCATTTCCGCCCCCCCGTGATGATTGCACGACTCGGAGACTTGAAGCCAAGTCACGGGCGTTAAAACTTGGCGCTCTCGGGATGCGGCATCACAGGGAACTGCCGGTTCGTTGCTGCAAGGCGCAGAACAGTTCATGAGGATGATGGGCATTAAAGTAAGGTAGAAAAGCTTAATGTAAAACTTTGTAGAATGAAACTGTGATTTCCGCCATCGGATAACAAGTGCACTACCGACTCACCACATTGCTGAAGCGAGATTGGAAGCTTTGAGCCCGTATAGCTCAGTGGTAGAGCGCATCACTCGTACAGCACGTCTGCGACATGATGAGGTCCACGGTTCAATCCCGTGTGGGGGCATCTAAAATTCAGATACTTTTGACCAAGGTTTTTTTTGGGGGGGTTTTTTTGGCACATTCAAATACATCAATCATCCATTGCATTGATCCACCACAAGCCGAAAACCCCGCCCCCCCAATAAAAAATGTCACGAATAATATTTGTCGATAGTCGGCAGCCCCGTCGCAAAATCCGTGGGCGACTCCCAGTGTTCCATCCGGTACTTCTTCAGCGTCTCCGCCATGGACGGCGGACCAGGCACATCCTCGACGTGGCGTTCCCCTGGGTCATCCGACCCCCTCAGCCTTTGGGTTCCGTCCAGCACGGCCTAGTGCCTCGAATCGTAAGGCGGCAAGTCAAAGTCAAAGGTTAGCCACTCGTTTGCCTGTTTGTTCCTCCTGTACGTTCTGTTCTCGGCGCGCATGGTGTCGCACTGCCTCAGCATGGCCAACAACAAATTCTTGGAGATCGGCCAACCTGTCATCTTTTCCAACCTCATATAATCCTTCTCCCGGTCCAGGATCCGCTTACGGGCTGAGTAGGGCAGCAGACCTTACTTGCTCATGTCCCTGGGCCACAAGTAGTTTGTTGCGCACTGCCAGGACAACGGAGACTGAGAGCCGATGCCGGACTTGTGGTCCACGTTGCCGCGGGACTAGTGGCTGAAGTTTGCTTTGGGTGGGTTGGCGCTGTTCCTGGCGGACTGGCTAAGAACGTAGCGGTTGGGAAGCTGCCTGGGGGCCAGGTCCGGAAATTCGATGGCCGCGTTGACCTGATGCCACGGCAGGGCGGCCAGCATGAACTCCTCCATATTTCCCCATACCCACAAGCCACCATGTTCCAAGCCCGCCTCCTCAATGTAAAACATCAGCCTCACCCGGTAGGCTTGCAGCCAGTAGCTGGCCCTCGGCTCGTCTTGGCTCGCGCAAGCCGCCCTGAACCGACTGATGAGATATCGCAGTTTCTTGAACGCGTATGGGCTGCATTGCCACACTTTGAGTGTGTCGTAGTACCACGGCCGTAGCTCGTTGTACAACTTGTTCCGGTAAAGCTAGTTGACTAAGGAGTGCTGGTACTGGTCTTGGAAGCATGTTCGGTCGAATTTCTTGGTGTCGATCTAGCGCGTCTGATAAGTCTTTGACCCGAACTCAGCCTCGAAAATTTCTGTATCCATAACCTTGTGTGCGAGCAGCGAGGTCTTTCCATATCTTCAAAATATCGCTATTATCGATCGTGTCTTCCCCGATGGGATAGCGCAGGATGCCGGGAGCATTCCGTTCGCAAAGGCCAAACACTTGGTTTTCCAGCGAGTATCCGGCCCAGACAATCTTGTCACTGATCTCGTTCAGACAAGCCCAGGTTTCATTAACCTCTTCCTGAGTAAAATGTTCTCTTCCGATGTTCTCTTTGACGTTCCGGATTTCATGTACCATTCCGTTTCCTCCTATGCCCTCCCTTCCCGAGGAAACAGTAGGAGGCGGGAAGCGGCGGAGATCTATGGGGTCTACGATCAAGGAATGAAGCCTGTATACCGAGATTTCCAGTTAGGGTCAGATCATTGATGCTCAGCGACCAACGGCGGTGGACTTATCAAATGTTGCGGGCCAGGCTGTACCGGAGGAAGCGATTTACAATCTCGATGCGGACGCTCGTCTCGGCCCATATCTTGGGTTAACAACACTCCATAACGTCTCATTTGAGCCTGGCGCTGGCAGTAGATCGTACCACCGGTCCCTTTTCAAGCAACTGCTCCATTGACTCCTTGGTAGATACCCGGCCTTGACTTGCCGAGCTATTGGCCCCGTTGCCTGTAAATACCATTTCTCTTGTTAATCAGGTACGCTCAATTTGCAAGTTTTCATGGAATTGTCGCGTAATTTCTCTGATCTTGGAGGCATATGAAGCAGTTAAAGGGAAATTAGGAGGAACTTTACATACTATGCAGAAGCACTGTGACAACAAACGTGACCTTGGCTCGTGGTTGATCTATACCTCCTGCCTTCATGGTCCCTGGATCGAGCAACCAGGTCCGCTTTTTGTGAGGATTGCCCCGCCCCAACAATGGAATGTCTTTGGAGGTTCGGCGTTGCTTTCCTGATGCCGATTCTGCTCTTATAAGCCATGGGGATTGCCCTGTCACTTGTTAGGAGAGAGACCTAGTAAACTTGGGGCAAGAGAACCGGCCAGCAGCAGAAAACAATGCATCTAGTTTTGTCGTTGCAATTCTACGTCTTGGGAAGTTTATGGGCGTCCTATGTGTTCTGGGAAATGACGTCAACCTATTTTTTTTTGGATGGAAGTGCATTGCGCTCTGGGTGCAAGTTCCAGGTTCAAGTATATTTAATGATACGGAAGCTCATACAACTGGGTGCGAAGAATACCGGAGATTGCAAGCGCAAAGGCGAATATTGGTGTCAAGGTTGGAAGATACCTCATCAGCCACGGTGCCAAATTACGTCGTCACGACCTTTGTTTTTTCACCGCCGGAGCAGCTCGTCGGCCCAAGAAAAAGTTGCATTACTCAGATGATGTGGCAAGAACTGTCCGCGCCTTCCGTCTTTGCTTCATCCTGTCTCATAGTTGGATCGGTCAGCCATCAGCAGCATCGTTCTTGCCTCCACCTATTTGGCGAATTGGCAGGTGCCTTATCTTGGTACCCACTCCCAGTATCCTCAATATCACGTCTCCAGTTTATCTCTGTCGGGCAGGTCCGAGCTGGCTCAGAGCTCCTTCCCGGCGTGAAAGCGAAATCTTGTTCTGGCTTCAAATCGCACGAGGGGATAGAGAGTGTCTGTCTGTCTTTCAATCTTCCAATCCTCAATCATTCATTCACACTGCAAGCTCTCTTAACAAACCTCGCATCCAACCTCAAGCCCATCTGTTGTTTACCCTATACTCTAAAACACTGTGTAATATGAAGTTTTATCTTTACATCTGCGCCGTCATTTCCGCAGCAGCCTCGATGGTTGTGGCGGGTCTCGCGACCACGGGCACCGCGGTTATATCTGCTCCCACTGACGGGGTCGTGCATTACCCTCCTGGAAAGAACTCTTTCCTCGTCAATGGAACCACCTTTGAGGGCGCTAACCTCAACCTCGCGTCTTTTTGCTATTACTATACTTACGAAGGCTAAACTAGCACCTCATCCCCCGCCGCCTGGGACTGCCACAACATCACAACAAACATCTTGGGTGGCAGCGTCTGGACGTGGATGAGCGGCTACCAGCACCAGCTCCTGCAGTAAGGCACGTGCGCCTTTGGCGTCGAGACCGACTGGGTCAAATTCGGCCTCCTTGTCCTCACTGGCAACAATGACATCATCGAAGTTATCATCGGCGCCAGCCAGAGATATGACGACACGTTCCATTGTCCCCATCTTGTCGGCGCTCGCGGAACGATGATGTGCCACATCGCCAGCTATGACAGCCCTGGTGTTCTCGTCACCTGGGGCTTGTATCACACTTGATTTCGGTGCTTGACTGGAATCGTGTCGGAAGGTCGCGCATGAAATGCGGAGGGCATCGATTTCGGCGGAAATATCCAGCGCAGTTTGAGGAAGTAGACATGGAAATCTATCTTTGTTAACACCTGCCTAGTTTTTGTCCTGTTTGAAAGTGCATTCTGTCAAGTTTCACCATCTTTGGACATGACCAGATATGAATGGACCGGGCAACAAGTCGGAGTCTGCAGAAATGCTGCATATGTATCATATGAGGGGGCATATTCTTATAGGCTGCTGACCCCTTAAGGTCTGCGCTCTGCATGAAAGCTGAAAAGCAGCGCATGCGAGAAGTGTTCAAATGGTACCCATTCTGCATGCAACTGTTACTAATGGTGGCAACCCAGAAAAGCCACATTTCACAGGGTTAAGCGGGGTTCCCAAATCGCACAGTCGCAGAGGCCCAGCCTTCTCCCTTCTATTGACCAGAATATTGGAACTCTTTGGGGCCCATGTATGCGTCCCGAAAGAAATAAGGTACTCCTCATCCCAACACGACTTGCACTTCGGCCAGACAAATCGTGGTGACCGTACCAAAGTATTCCAGCCACCAAGGTTCAACTCAGCCACTAGCCAGGATGTGGTTGATCGACACTGCGACAATGCGGATGCACGATGTCTTCAACACTGAAGACCACAAATACGCCATCCTATCCCACACCTGGGAGGACGACGAGGTCAATTTTGAGGATATGACCCTTCGGCCCTATGTCGCCCGACAAAAGAAAGGCTACCTCAAGATTGAGAAGACCTGCCAGCTCGCCAAGGAGCGAGGGATCCCGTACGCCTGGGTCGATACGTGCTGCATCGATAAGACCAGCAGTGCGGCCCTCTCGGAGGCCATCAACTCCATGTTCCTCTGGTACAAGGAGTCCAATGTTTGCTTTGCCTATCTCTCCGACCTTCCATCTGACACGCCAGAGTTACCCCGTCTCGCGGTCAAAATGGGGTTTTCCCACTGCAGATGGTTTACTCGGGGATGGACCTTACAGGAGCTTATCGCGCCCGAGCTGCTCGAGTTCTACGACGCAGATTGGAACTTCCTCGGGACGAAGAGCATATTGAGGGTGGAAGTTAGCATCAGCACCGGCATTGATGTCGACGTCCTGGAAGACGTTGGTAAGCTTTCGACTGTTCCCGTTGGCCGCCGGATGGCTTGGGCGGCAAATCGCACGACAACCCGGATAGAGGACATGGCGTATTGCCTGCTCGGAATCTTCGACGTCAATATGCCCATGATCTACGGCGAAGGACCAAAAGCCTTCTTCCGTCTCCAGGAAGAAATCATCAAGAACACAAACGACCTGTCGCTATTTGCATGGAATTCGCAGCCCGGAGCTGGAACGGACCTGCGACCTACCTTCTGGGAATATCACCAGGAGCAGTTCCGTGGTATTCTTGCCAGTTCCCCAGCTGAGTTTCGGAATTGCCTCAAACTCGAGCATGACCCAGACTCTCGGCGCGACAATCGGGAGTTTGTCATGACGAACAACGGCCTGCGAATCGACTGCTCACTGGCCGT